AAACAATTTATCGAATAAAATTAGACCCATTTCATATATTTATTGATTAATTAGTTTAAATCTTATATTAAAATATGTGTTTTAAATTTGTTTATGTTTAAAGGGTTAATTAGTAGAATAACATTTTTGGGGAAGATAATTAAGTAGGTAACATGTTTAAAAATATATTTAGGTAACTAGGAGAGAAAAGTAAAAATATGACAAAATTATTCCTACAACTATACTTAAGGTATATATGAAAAATCCCTAAAAATACTCATTTGTTCTAATTTATGGAAAAGTTGGTCTTAGAGCTTATTTTATAATACATTAGTAATATGAAAAAAAATTTATGTCAGAAAAAACAACGATACGATAGAATATGACAAAAAAAAAATATGTTGTAATAGTTAACTATTTGCAGAACATAGTTAATAACATAGTTAACTATTTGCAAAACATAGTTAGTAACATAGTCAACTATTTACAAGTATACATAGTCAATTAATCTCAAAACATGATTAACTACGTCACACTATTTTTGAGAAAATAGTTATAATTTAAAAACATAGTTATCAACTCTACTGATTTCTTTTTATATAGTTGACTAGATGAAAATGTTGTTGTAATAGTTATTTATTTAAACAAACTGATATAGTCAACTATGTATGCAGTAAGTATTATAGTTTGCATAATGAAAAAAATAACATAGATAGTTAGCTATTATAAAAAAAACAAAGTTACCTATTATAATGAAAATAACATTCATAGTTAACTATATCATAAACACAATTACCATTATGCTGATTTTCAAACATAGTCAACTACGAATAGAGATTAATGGAAGAAAAGAACTATTATCTTAATCTACGAATATAGATTTCGATCCATGGCAAACGAGATATGATAAAGTAATTGAGAGAAAACAATTAAAAATGAATTGCAAAGTTGAATATAAAGAAGAACGAGGAAATTGAGAAAAAATAGAGAAGATGTAAGATTGATAAAAGACCAAAGAAGCATTAGAAGGAGAAATGCAAAATCAAAGAAGAACAATATAAGAAATCTTAGAAAGGAGAAGTTACAAGACTAGGCATAGGGGAAGTAGGTGGCGAGAGAGAAAAATTAGGGTAAGACATTATAGTTACCGTATTCTAA